TCTGTGTGTGTGTGTGTGTGTGTGTGTGTGTGTGAGTGTGTGAGTGTGTGTGTGTGAGTGTATAGATTTGTCATAGCACTTGCATATTATTGCTCTTTTGTTGGTTTTGATTGCTTCTATTGTCCTCATTTGTAAGTCGCTTTGGATAAAAGCGTCTGCTAAAGGACTAAATTTAAGTCTTTTTCTTCTTTTTTTATTTGCATAAATCTGTACTGATGGTCATATATCTGTGATTTAGGGAAGATCATTGCACTGGATACATCTATTGTGGTGAATCAGTTTCGCTCAGCTCTCCCCAGTCATCTGAAGCTAAGGTCAGTTCAGCATGAAGTATTATTCAGTCACTGAGCTTGTTAAAATACATTCAAATCAGTGTATTTTGTAAATATTATGAGTTTTAGGTAGTGTTGGGCGATATCCCGGTTCATACCGAATACCGGTGTTTATTTTTGTTATGATATTAATTTTTAAAATACCGCAATACATAGAGTATGTCGCTTAAACAACGTTCGGAACGCGACACTGTTTGAGAGGGTAATATAGCCAAAACAACCGAATAGCCGCTCTTTAGTGTAGATGCATGTTGATTTTATCAGACGATGCCGCGATTATAAATGAGAGTGACTCCTGGTTAACATGTATTAAAAGGGGTCGTGTTTAGTCACTATTTAGTGTGGTATTTTTTGACAGTATTCACTCATCATGACAGTAAAATAGGGCATTCTAAGTCAATATACTGCAGTATTTCCTCTCTCAATCAGTACAAAATATGGTTAACACCCAGTCATGCATGAAAAAAAAATACCGTCATGTACCGTGAAACCGGTATAATTTTTGAAAAATACCGTGATATAAATTTTTGGTCATACCGCCCAGCACTAGTTTTAGGTATAGTTGTGTTATCTTATCATATGAACATGTGATGTTGCAGCCCTCTCACAGGCTTGTTTTACCGCACTCTTACTTTCCTGGAGCATGACATCAAGCCTGTCTTTGTACTTGATGGCAGACCACCTAATCAAAAGAGAGCTGTGGTGAGATGTGTACTAATACAGTTATTTAGTAATCATATACATATAATTATTGTGTAATTATTTTGTATGTAATAATATATCATATAATTGTAATCCCTCTAGCTGGAGAAAAGAGCTCAAAGCACAGGCTGGAACAGTTTACAGAGCTCCAACACAGGTGTGTGCAGTTGTATTGTAAATATGTGGTGAAAAGAAAATCCAGTGAAACAGTAATATTGTGAAAAATGTTACATTTTTTTCTATTTTAATTAGTGCTGTCAAACGATTAATCACAATTAATCGCATTCAAAATAAAAGTTTTTGTTTACATAATATTTGTGTGTTCTGTGTATATTTATTATGTATATATAAATACACAAACAAACAGTATATATTTTGAAAATATTTCCATGTATATATTTATATTAATATAATTGATATTATATATAAATATTTCAAATGTATAAACATAACATATTTTTCTTAAATCTATACTGTATGTGTGTGTATTTTATATATACATAACAAATATACACAGAATGCACACATATATTATGCAAATAAAAACTTTTATTTTGTATGCGATTATTCGCGATTAATAGTTTGACAGCACTAATGCATATATATATATATATATTAGAAATAAATTGTTAAATTAAGTAAAATGAATGAATAAATAAATAATATTTTATATTAAGAAAATTAAATCTATTTTAGGACTATTAAGATTTTTATTTATTGTTTATGTATAGTTGGCAACAACCTTTTTTTGCATCTTTTGTAATTCTGTTTCGCTCTTTTTTGTTTCTGTTCTAACAGAGACTAATCGACAAGTCGGCGGTGACGTGTTTAAAGTGGGTGCCGGGTTCAGAGCACCTGTTCCTGGTGGCTCACAGCAGTGGATGTTTGTACCTGTACAATGTGGAGCACACCTGTGGAACGACTCCGCCGCATTACCAGCTCCTAAAGCAAGGCGAGAGCTACGCCGTTCACACCGGCAAGAGCAAATCGGCCCACAATCCTCTCCTCCGCTGGACGGTGGGCGAAGGCGCGGTTAACGAATTCGCCTTCTCGCCCGATAACAAATATACACAGTACACACACATTTATTATGTAAACAAAAACTTTTATTTCGGATGAGATTAATCGCGATTAATCATTTTACAGCACTAATTTTATTATGTTTTAAATGTAATTTATTCCTTTGATTGTAAAGCTTAATTTTCAG